GGGATGAGGAGTGGGTGGTGTAAGAGACAGCGCATGGTGTTTAGTTAAACAGGGAGGGAGGAAGAGTGGCTAGCTCCATTGACTTGGGCGGATTTGGGAATGGGTGTCTGTTGGATCGTGGTTGAGACATGGCTTGTGCATGTTAAATCCTGTCATGGCTGTTTTTTTATCAATGTGAAATTGTGGCTTTGAACTCCTATCTCCCCCACCCCTCCGACATTTTTTCACCCCTGCCCGGGCAAATTTTTTTGCCTGCCTGGGCAAGCGTATATCCAGCGTTTACATTTGGCTAGTCAAGCGTCTAGCGTATAAACGCTAGCGTATATACGCCAAACGCGTTTATGGCAACACAGGTCCGGGTTACCCGGGCAGGTATTCAATACCCGCTACCCGAAATGCTACCCGACACGTCGGGTAGCGGGTACCCGACCCGAAACCGGATAACGGATCTACCCGACGGAACCAGCGCGACATTATTCGCGCTGGTAGAGAAATTTCAACAAGGTTTTAGGTTACGTGAGCTGCTAGGCTAGCAGGGGTTGGGTTTCGTAGATCCAGATGCATTCAGAGCGGTTGAATTGGGGGAAATTGGTTGGAATTCAAACCAATCGAATTTCCCCAATCAAATTTGCAACCCAACCTGAATCCAACCAACCGCACAGCACCACATTGGTTGGAGTTCCAACCGATTGACTCTGGGGGTCAAAATATCAACCCCCGAAAACCGCACACAACCCCATCCCAACTAGAAAACCCAACCATCTCCCCACTCAGGCCCCACTCACCACACCAGAACTGTTTGACGCACCTCATACTTCCTCCCGCAACTCACGTTTTTTTAAGATTTGGCGCACTCTCTAGGTCGTAGGTTGAGTAGCCCAACAAGTAGGAAAACGCAGGTAATACTACCCGCTTTTCAAGGAAACCGGGTCGGGTATACCCGGACCCGCCAGGCGGGTATTAAATTACCCGCCCCCAAATCCCGGGTCCGGGTATTGGTCCTGGGCAACTTACCCGACCCGTACCCGACTCGAAGTCGGGTGTAGCAAAACCGGGTATCAATAGTTAACGGGCCTACTACTGATGGAACCTGCTCGCCTGTGGCCGATGACCCTCATCGAGTACTGGTACCGATCCACGCAATCGACCAAACTCGGCTGAATAAGGAGGGTGTAGCGGCGGATTACCCCATTTATTTAGAGGGTAGGGTTCAAGGGGAAAAAAAAAAAAACTTCGTGGATGGGGGAGGTAGCCACAGTCTGATCAACCTCGCCAGGGCAAAAAAGAATGAAGTTACCCTTAGATGGATCTCTACTGGAGATTGACGCCCGACTAGTCGATGGAACCCCACTAGCAATAAAAGACAGGGCGGAGAGGATAGGCCTGATAGGGTACGCTATGGACCTGAATTCAAATTTTCAATTGGGATGCTGGCAACTACACTCGATGACTTCGACATGTTGCTGGGACGGGATTGGTTGCGACGGTTCAATCCGCGTAGAAACAGCCCGCCTCGTCATCTCAACCGTCGTTCGCCTCCACGGAATCCCATCCGCCATCATTTCGGATCGTGACACAAAATTCACCAGTAACTTTTGGCGAAACCTCTGGGAATAGTTTGGCACGCGCCAGCAATTCTCTTCCGCCTACCACCCCGAGACTGACAAACAGACCGAACAACCCAATCAGACAATGGAGCAACTGATTCGTGCCACTTGCGCTGACGTAGTCGACTTGGAGCAGCAACTGCTACTGATTGAGTTCGCGATAATAATGCCCCGTCAGCCACTACACGATAGTCACCATTCTACCTGAACTACGGGCAGAACCCTATAGTACCGATCACGCCCAACATCGAAAATTCAATACCACGAGCCCAACAGTTCGCCGAAATATTACAGAATGCACGGGAACGAGCAGCCGAAGCCATTAAGCGCGGGAATGTTATTTCTAAGCGCAACGCTGATCTACACCGACGAGCAGTAACTTACCAGGCTGGAGACTTATTACTGCTCAACACCCAGAACCTTCGACTGCCCATCATTCCAAGGCTCTGCCCCCGCTACTGTGGACCATTTACCATCAGCCACATGATATCTTCCGTTACAGCTCATCTACTGTAACCGGCCACCTGGAACGTCAGCCCATCATTCCACGTGCGATTACTTCGACCATTCATCACCAACAATGATAAATTACCATGTCACTGAGCAAACCTAAACATCCGACCGCTCACCGAGCCTATTGTCGAACCTGCGAAGGTTCTCAGCCATCAAATCAAAGACCCTCGAGGGGCTCATTGAGTTTCAGATATCTTAGAAAGACCGGACGGCCCTGAAAAACAGTTGGGTGTCCCTGACACAGATCGAGAATTACCCGGTGTTACGAGACTACCTCCAGTCACGCAATGTGCGCGACGTCGGCAGTCTTAACTAAGACCATACTTTGAAGGGAGGAGGGTGTAAGGAAATTGTATTTTCTTATCATGGATTTTAGTTAGTAAGGCGTACACTCCTATAATGGGGTTGCCACGCAGCTCTGCCACAAAATTCAAATCGTGGTCTCATATGTGGTCTCCTGACGAGCCGCATGCAATATTGCTCGCCTTGCTGTTACATGCCTAGATCTGGGCGCTTCGCGCCAATTTACGAACCGTACGTCGCAGCTCTGCCGAGTCACGACCGTGTGCTCCTAGGCTAGTTATATCCATGCTCCCTGCTATTTTGATGTTGTCTCAATTGTATTGTTTCCTTGCTACTCAATCCTTCGACACACGCTCTTTGCGCTTCATTATAGATCCACACATTTCGGCAGGCGAAATGCCAGATCCGCACATCTCAACAGGCAAAATGCGCGGATCTAGCATTTCTCCCGCCGAAACGTGAGATCCGCGCATTCTGGTAGGCGAAACGCGTGATCCACACATTTCGCGGGCCGAAACGCAAGATCCGCGCAATTCGACAGTCAAAACGTGCTTTTCAGCCATATATTTGAGTTGGTTTAAAACCTCACCGCAGGTATCGGGATCGGGTCCGGGTACCCGTTACCTGTTACCCGGGTCGGGTACCTGTTACCCGTTACACGGGTCGGGTACCCGTTACCCGGATCCGCTTTTAGGGTGGGTCGGGTATCGGGAATCCAGAAAATTACCCGGCGGGTCGGGTTCGGGTTACCCGGGCGTAGGCTTGAGCATACATACCCGCCCGGGTCGGGTACCCGGTACCCGGATCCGCTTTTAGGGCGGGTCGGGTATGTGGAATCCTGAAAATTACCCGGCGGGTCGGGACTGGGTTACCCGGGCGGGTATTCGATACCCGTTACCCGAAACGTTACCTGACATGTCGAGTAATGGGTACCCGACCCGAAATCGAGTAGCGTGTCTACCCGACGAAACCAGCGCGACATTGGTCGCGCTGGTAGAGAAATTTCTTAGGTTAGGTCATGTAGAGCATTGTAGAGTGGCGGGGGTTGGATTTCATAGATCGAGATGCATTCAAAGCAGTTGAATCAGGGGAAATCGGTTGAATTGACTCTGGGGGTCAAATTATCAAACTCCGAAGAACCGCACACAACCCCATCCCAACTAGAAAACCCAACCACCCCCCACTCACGCCCTACTCACCAGAACTGTAAAACATCTGGTGCACCTCTTACTGCCTCCCGCGACTCACGTTTTTAGGTCGTAGGTTAAGCCCAGCACAATAGGAAAACGCGGGTAATACTACCCGCTTATCACGGAAACCGGGTCGGGTATACCCGGACCCGCAAGGCGGGTATAAAATTACCTGCCGCCAAATCACGGGTCCGGGTATTGGTCCTGGGTAGGCTTGCCGGTTTTGCAATACCCGACCTCGGGTCGGGTAATTTCGGGTCGGGTCCGGGTCGGGAAATATGCCTAGGACCCTTACCCGGACCCGGCCTTAGGGGACGGGTAATACAATACCCGCCTGGCGAGTCCCGGTATACCCGACCCGGTTACCCTGAAAAGCGGGTAATACTACCCGCCACCTACTAGTGGACATCTTAAAGTTGGGCTAGGCTAGGTAGGGTTTTTGAAAACGCGACTCTCAAATGAGAGTCGCGTTTTCTAGGGGTCGAATATGAGCACCCAACTCCCTCCCTTTCACCGCACCGAACTCCTCCCCGTCTACAAACTCCAATTTCCAACCAAACTCCCTCCCTTTCATCGCACTGAACTCCTCCCTGTCCACAAACTCCAACATTTCCAACAAAACTCCATCCCTTTCACTGCATTGAACTCCTACCCATCTACAAACTCCAACCTCTTCTCCAACTCCCACCCAAATCCCTCCCTTTCACCGCACTGAACTCCTCCCTGTCTACAAACTCCAACATTTCCAACAAAATTCCTTCCTTTTCGCCGCACTGAACTCCTACCCATCTACAAACTCCAACCTCTTCTCCAACTTCCACCCAACTCCCTCCCTCCCTTTCACCGCATTTAACTCCTCCCCATCGACAAACTCCAACTTCTCCTGACAAATGCTTCAGTCGTCCCCCCTCACCTCCAACACCGTTTTGCCGCAAAACCTAAAACACAGCGCGACTTACGCCCATGTCTAGGTGGAATACCCGACCTCGGGTATTATTTACCCGACCGGGTCGGGTACCCGTTACCGGACACGTCGGGTAGCATTTCGGGTAGCGGGTATTGAATACCCGCCCGGGTAACCCGGACCCGACCCGCCGGGTAACTTTCAGGAATCCCGATACCCGACCCGCCCTAAAAGCGGATCCGGTTACCGGGTTCCTGACCCGAGCGGGTAGTTTGCTCAAGCCTAGTCCTGGGCATGTTACCCGACCCGTTCCCGACCCGAAAATACCCGACCCAAAGTCGGGTATAGCAAAACCGGGTCGGGTCGGGTAAATACCCGGTTTTGCTCATGCCTAGGCGCTCGTGTGCTCGCTCCTGGCATGGGTGAGTCAAGAGTGAGAGGAGCAGCAGTGCTGCTGGCAGCATGACATGAGAGTGCGCTCACATGGCAGAGACGAACCCATCTTTGTCACAAAAGACGCCCTCCATGGCCGTGCAGTCCACGTGGCGCAACCCCCACGTGTCGCTGCCGTTGAAGCCGCTCCACTCGCTGGCCAGCAAGGCGAGACTCGTGGCTGGGGGGGGGCCAGGATGGGTTGAAGCCGCGGATGGGGCGAGGCATGAGATGCAGGAAAGAGAAGTACGGAAAGGACGAGGCAAAGCTCAGGGAGCGCAAGGGGGGCAGCTGGGTGTGAGCTGCATGTGCTGGCAGCTACCCAGGGAATGCTATCATGGGGCAATGGGGGGCATGGGGGGCATGGGGGGCATGGGGGGCATGGGGGGCATGGGGGGCATGGGGGGCATGGGGGGCATGGGTGGCATGGGGGGCATGGGGGACATGGGGGGCATGGGGGGCATGTGGGACATGGGGGGCATGGGGGGCATGGGGGACATGGGGGGCATGGGTGGCGTCTGCACTCGTGGTGAGCACGCTGCCATCATCTCCTCACATCCAAGGACGAGGTGCTTCAGTCGCACTCAGCGGCGTACCATCTCTGGGGTGCAGTCGCACTGCCGCTGCACCCCAGGGGGCTAGGAGGCACGCCAAGCCACCGAGCAGCAGCAGATGCAGCTCCAGCCGCCCTCGCTGTGTCTCCTGCTGGGGAATCATCACGATAGCAACCACATGGCTCTGATGGTGGTAATGTGTTGTATGATTGAACGAGGGAATCCTTTACTTCACTCATGCCGCGCATGACATTCCCCCCCTCGTTCTAAGGCTCGCGTCAGCGGCGGAGGGGCGTAAGGGAAGCACGCTGGCGGGCATTGAGCAGCACCGTGAAAGGCTTCGCAGCGACGAGCTCAGCCCGCGTGGTCTGCCGCATCGTTACGGCGATGCGGCACAAACTGCTCGGCGCATGGCGTCTGAGCGGCTGCCGGGCTGCCAAACTGAATCCTGATGGTCACTAGTGCGGTGTACGGTATGCGGCATGCGCACAGGTGCATCGAGTCGGAGTGTGGAAGGGTAGACGTGGCGGGCTTACACGGTGTGTCGGCATGGTGGTCGCGAAGATGTCGCGAAGATCTGGCGCACTCGCCTCTCACGGGTAAGGAAGAAGGCCTCGGACGCTCGCTAGTAACGTGAACGCTTATATCTCGATTCGTGTCCAAACTGACCCACTACCCAAAAATGTGCCAGTTTGCATGGCTGTTCATTTGTGTCATTTGTTATGAGTGGGAATGGAACTATTGACTGAGTAATGGAAATACAACCTAGGAATAATAATTTATTAGCAAGTGACCAGCGAACTGGCTAAAGTAGGGTGCTAGGGCGAGAACCTCGGGACTTGAGGTTGGGATGGAAGGGTGGAGAGGGTGTCAGAACGCGACTCGGGGAGGTTTGGGCCGATGCAAGGTTGAGGTGTTCGGGTGTACGCGCTGTAATCTAGCGCAGTAAGGAATTGTAATTCCTTACACTCCCACCTTCTAAAGAAGCCCTCCCTACACTAGAGACGAAACTAGGATGGATTAATAATCCAATAACGAGTGTGACTCTAGGTCTTGAAATATTCTGACGAGCGTAATGATCACGCCGTCCTGACGATTCTTGGGCGAGCCATTTCCGACGGCTCAAATTGGTCGAGAGATGTCTTGACCATTGGGCGATTATCACGAATCAGCAATGTCAGTGGCGAAACTGTCGAAATCGATCTGATGGATATCTCCAGATTGAAGGGCTTACGATGACCTCTAATTTGGCAGGATAATGCTCGGTGGCTTGGACTATACAACGTGGCATGACCGCACGCTTGTCATCATAACGAATCTCTTGAGATGTCAAACGTAATCGGTGCCGTTAATCTTGAATAGTGATCGAATGGCTAAAAGTTGTCGAAACGATCGCAATCGATCTTGGCTGTTGAAGGTTGGTCGATTATTCGGCAGACCGAATTGGGCAGGTGAATCGAAAAATGCAGAGAGAACAAATGCAGCGCAGCTGCACTTCTCCCCCTCTTTAGGAAGAAAACAGATCCCAGGTTGTCAGGGAAAACACCCAAGTAGTCCATTGCTGCAGTGTACCCGTAAAACACCCCAACTGCAACATTAAACGCTGGTAAAACGCAGCTTTGAAGACGTCGGCGAAACTCGAACGGGAAGGACTCAAACATCTGCTCCAATGTTGAATTCTTCTATAGGGCAAACCGCTTCTTAAGTCTGCAAAATTAGTAATACTGCTTCGGAAATAACTCCCAGACGAACTGAAAAATCCTCTCGAGTCTATCCACTGCTTGCGAGCTGGCCCCAACACCGCTCCAAGAGTACTGCTGCCAAATCTGTCGATTCGATATTGCTCCAAGCGGATGGCGGGGATGTGTTCTGCATAGCGAACGAAGGTAGGCGAATTGACGATGGAGGCAGTAGCGGGGGATGGCGAGGGGTTGACGATAATGGCGATGGAAAATGACCTGTCCTGACCCGATCTAGTAACCACTCTCGAACTGAACCCAGAGTCACACGCCCTCAGCTTCGTTTTGTGCATACATGCCGAAATTTTCGGAAAGAGCCGAAACAATTGCTGCGTCTTCACTCTCCATAAAACCAAACTACTCCGCAAAAATCGGATGATGCCACTCGTACCCCTAGATATAGCAGGCACCACGCCATTTGCAAAACCTTGAACTGCTGCACGTTGTCGTCCAGCGAAAATGTCGAAGGTTTTCCTGTAACTTAACGAATACCGCAACTTCGCTTTATTGCTGTTTGTGCTCTGCGACTACCCGACGCGCCGTCGTTTAGTTGCACCCCCATCGGTCTATCACCAGCTGTACGAATGAACTGAGCCATTTAATCGAGGGTACTCGTCGTTCACCGCCCAGGCATGGGTCTTCGGCCGTCGATCATGGCTGGCGAGCATCAGATGTCGTCAATCTTCTCACAGATGTAACCCAAACTCTTCAATTACCTAGGTACCCCTGACCAGCTGACCTTGCAGACGTTCACCCATCTCGCGGTTGCTACAGATTAACCCAAACCGCTTCACCTAGTAAACTTCAGATGCTTAACAGCTGCGCTGTTGGTTTTCGAAGAGTTCCCCATCTAGTACCAGGCGTTTTTGCAGCGCCCCGACGTTCACCTATCTTTGCGCTCGTCATGACACTAGACAAGTCCTAGGCATTATCGCGCGTCGTGGTAGCCCATATAAATTGAGGACAACTCCCTCCGCTTAAACGCATTCCGAAAACCTCGGATACAGTGTCGAGCTCCACCTGCAATAGTGTCGACATCGAATATTTCTTCACGGCTTCCCCGACTATTTTGGCAGGTCGTCGTTCACCCAATTTCCCGCTTCTGTCGGCAAGTAAACAGCTGTAAACCATAATCCGGGGCAAGACGGAGCAACGATAGCGCACAAGCCTGTAGTCGGTGGAGCTAACAAATTAACTCCCAGCCATCCGCTGCGCAGCCGTGCAAATCCCCTCTAACACCGCGAATTACCCAAAACCCCCCCCACCCCCCCCCCCCCCCCTCCCCCCTTTTTTTTTTCTCCAGCTGGTCAAGGTGGCCCGGACGGAGCAGAAGCCAACGCACACGCCACTAATCACCGAAGCGATCGCTGTGCAGCCATGCTAATCCCCTCGGACAAACATCATTTCCAGATCAGCTCCCAAAATCTTTGCCAACACGAAGGAAGTTTCAGTTCTAACCCCCGTTACAGACCTGGAAATGTAAAATGACCCCATAAATCACCACTACTCCCAGGTGGAGGCAGTTGCAAGTCAGTGGAAAAGGAGTTCCGTCAACCGGTGGCCAAAACCGCTACTAACGCACGGTTAAATCCGCTGTCCTGGACTTTCCCTACGCCGCAGGCTCTTCTCTTCTAGAATCTGAAAACTTTGCCCTTGCGGTGACCCTGGGAGACACGCGCGACGGACCCGTCTGAAATTTCTTTTGCAGCATCCGTGGGTTGCGCCCCATGTCCCTTTTATTGCGGAGCCCTGGCCGTCGTTTCTCGAGCTGGTTTCCTCGTCATGAAACTTTTGTCCGGCATGCAGGTATAGTGTCGGCAGGTTGTAGACCACGCGTAAAGCCTGACTGCAATCCAGGCGCCAACTGTTTGACACGTGTCGGTGACGTCCCAGTGCCATCCTCGTGATGTACGAAAATTGGTCGTTGCCGAAGTTTGCTGCTTCCGGATTTTTCGTCGAATCAAGGTCGAGCCGACACACTGGCGTTGTCCGCTCGCCGAAGTTACCAGAGCGTGATGACACACCAAGGTCCAATCCTTCGAGGTTGTCGGTTTGCACATGAAACAGAGCGCCAGCGAATTCTTTGCATCTCTCGCTCCCCGCGCTTTCCCCGTATACACTTCTGACGCATCACATGTGCGCCTGGCGAACTCCAAAATCTTCTGACGGAGTTGGGCGAGCCTTCGCTTTTTTTGCACAACCACTGACGACGTCTCCTAGCGAGCCGCTTGAAGATTTCTCGCCACGTGACGACGAAATCTTCAAGCGGCTCACGTCACGTAACTTAGTTGGGAGAGGAGATCAGTTTGCGTCAGATATATTGTCAGGGCAGTCAGAATGCGCCAGGTTCCCACCTCGTCTCGTGTTTCCACCCCTCTTGTGTTTAGACGATCGGATCGGTCTGAATCACACAACTTGTAAACGAGATAACATTCTCGCCATTTCCGTAAGAGTATCGCATGGTTCCTTTTTTCATTGCCTGCAACCCTCGAGATAAACGCATTGACGATTGTCACGTAAGTATGGTTTGATCAAATTTCACCGTACAAACTAAACATTTGTTTCTTAGATGCTCAGTATATTTTTAGCAATGAAATACGAGTTTATTTGATAACTACTATTTTTCATAAATCGATGGAATTAATATATGAGAGTACAAAAAAATATTTATATTTTTGATTGGAAGCAACAGACTTGATACAAAAACACCCATACAAAGTTATGCCAATATTATTATCTTGATCTATTTCTCACGGTGAGAGCTTCATTTATTAATAAGTCCAAATGCTCCTTCTCTCTAGTACAAGAGTTTTACCACTTTGTTTTTGGGGTAAATATAGCCGTGTTTATATTCTTAAACGTGTAATCATCATCGAACAAACAAATGTTTAGTTGGTACGACGTAGTTTATTCAAACCATACTTACGTGATAATCGTCAGTGCGTTTATGTTGAGGGTTCCAGACCAGGGCTGATTTTATCAGACTATTTTAGTCTGATTGTCTGAAATTTCATACCCATTTTTTTGCCAATCCTGATTTTTCAGACTTCGGCTTTTCTGGATACTGAACCCTTCAGAGTTGTATGATTTTGGATCCTGAAGTTTTCAGAGTAGTCGTTGTGCGGATACTGAGGTTTCAAAGTAAATCGCGTATGGACTCTGAATGCGACATCCATGCACCTTGTACTTTCCATTAGATTTCCTCTACTACGTCATATGCTGCCTTCCATCATTTCACCCCCGCATGTCTCACGTGCAGTATCTGCACTTGGCAAGATTCCCGCCCCTTTTGTGACTGTGATGCTGCCTCAACAGGGACTTTGCCGCTCAGCGCGTCATGCATCCTGCCACGCGTGCCTGCTAAGGACCTCTACGTGGGTGTGTTGGAAGCCATCAAAGGCTGGTAACACGGGAAACTTGCCCTCGCTGGCATGTGCAAAACTGTCCGACCGACCGTGATTGGCGACAGTCCATGCCAACACATGGTTCGTTCGTAACGTCAGCTCACGTTTGGCATGGCGGCACGGGTTTGGAAGGGGCTGCCATCCAGAAGCTGACAACGAGGGTTAACCAAGAAACACGCGCCTTGGGCTTGATGGTGCCCTTCTTCTTCGTCCCTCTCATCCCCCCCCCTCCTCTCAGGCGCACTCAGGCTTTTACACGGGGTCTGTAAATCTTACTCCTCAATTCGTGTTTCGGAGTTGTCCTCCTCACGTAGGTTCCCGCTTGTCGACCCCGTCAACAGCCATGACGGGGACTCCTGCAGAAGAAGATGATGAGCCCAGCGCCGATGAACCACCTCATAGTAACGAGCCTGCAGAGGTTCGTCACTCCGTGATAGACATACTGCAGTTGTTAGGTTCTCCTCCCGTCGTTGCTGTTGTGGTTTCCTCCGCAGCGGAGGAAACCCAGCCTGCTCTAAACCCACCTCCGTCCGCGCCCTTCGTGCCACCACCATATGTCCCTCCGCCGGCCATTGCCTCATCCAC